GAAAGAATCATCCCGCAAATTACACATTCCTTCTTTTATTTATACTGGGAATATTTTTGGGTTAAATTAATGCTGTAATCTGAAGTACTAGTACAGTTTTTTACTTGTAACCTGGTTTAAAGCACAATTATGGCAAACTGAAAAGCAAGAACTACATTAAAAACTGGGGTATATATATAATAATAAAGCTCTCGCTGACATCTTTGGAGTTCGGAGTTTAGTCCAGATAAAGTTATATGCGAATCTAGGCGTTTTTATTTTACTACATCCTACATCCGTCCCAAAAAATAGTCCACATTGAGTTTTCAAATTTATACTAAAAATAATACACAATTCAAAACTCAATGTGGATTATTTTTGTGGGACGGAAAGAGTATTTTTTGCCATCCATTTCTTTTGTAGTTGTAGTATTTAAATCATCACAAAAAGAAAAAAAAAATTTGGTAGCATATAGAAGTGCGAAAGACACTCTATTTTGTTGTCAAAAATTGTACACAAACCAACATCCTCTTTTGTTCTTTTTTGGCTCCCTGCTTTTCCTTTTTCTTTTTCCCTTTTCTTTTCAGGTTGAAAACTGTATACTCCTAATAAAGATACAAACGTGCCTGGAAAATTTTAATGCATATTTCAATAGAAATAATAGAGTAGTATGTTCGTTTACCCTTTTCTTGTTTTCGTAGTAAAAATGGTTACGTACTTACGTGACAAGTGACAACCATGCATGAACTCCATGGCTAACTGGATTTTAATTTGTTTAATCTCTTTGAAAATTACTATCATTGTCGAAATTGTTAGACTGATATGAAGTATAGAATAAAAATTATTATTGTAGATTATAATCTCTCCGCTCATATATAAGAAAGAAGAGGAATAAAGAAGTGAATTATTGGGTCGAAGTGGGAGGGTTGAATGGGGTGATCAGAGGATTAGGATGGGGTATGATTATTACCGAAATGTCGAGAGTTCGATTCTTACTGTACCATTCAATTTTTTTATTTTATTTTATTTTTTTAAAAAGTAAATTATTGAGTCATAATCTTGTGGTTTTTCAAAAGGAATGGCCGGAAAAGTTTTAAAAAAAACGGAAAATAATTATTAAGCCGGATCGGGTAAATAAGTTGGATCTGGCACTCGTGTGGGTGAATTCTTGGTTCACGTGATGGGGGACGCCGGGATTAAGGATTTTGAACGTGCGGGGGGTACGGTTAAAGGACAGAATTAGGTAACGCTTGGCACGTGATAACGGCTTGTGTGACACAAACCAGAAAGGAAAAAAAGAAAACAAAAACAAAAAAAATCATTTTCTTTTTTACAGACAGCTGTATATCCCGCCGCTCTAACCAGTAACGGATGCTTCATCGGTTCTGTTCCGTTTTTCTTTGTTTTCTTATAATTTCTTTTCTTTTTTGGGAATAACATTTTCATTATTTTATTTATAGTTGTATAAAATGGGATATTGTGCAGTCTGCAACCTCTTCAGGAATAAAAATAAATAAAATTACCAGCGTCGGAATATTCCTGAAGAACTGAGCTAGGATTAATTTCGAAAATGAATTATGAAGAAAGATAATAAAAGTGAGGGTTTTATTGATATGACGAAAAGCAAGGGATGAGTTTACGTAGCATCCAGTAGATAACTAATTTCGTTACGTTAGAATTTTTACCTATTTGTGAAAATCGTGATAGTTTCTGCATAATTTTCTGTTGACTCCCCACGGCAAATTACTGTAGAGATTTATTTAAAAATATGATATTGACAGTCAATGGTATATGTCTATTACAATTATGGTGATATTATACAACTCGGAGAAGTTTACCAAAATGGTGATATTATACAATTATGGTGATATTATAGAACTCAATAAATAATCATCATACAAAAAAAAAATAAAAACTTTGGTTAATTTTTTTTCTTAAATCAAATTAGTGTAATTAGTTTAATAAATAGGAGATATGACATAAGACTTGCTCCTCAACTTTACTCTATCTGGAATTATGCAATGTTGCAACTGTATCTGTAAAATAATAATACTTCGAACAGCTAGAGCATTACATAGCACGCGGTGGATAAAACAAACAATGTATGAACAAATTTGGTGAAAGTTCAAGAAAGTAAGCCGAACCTCGTGGAACCGTTTATAATACCTGAACTACAAAAATGTTTTTTTTTTTTTATTTAGCTATAGTCTCACATGAGTATCATATTTACTTCGCAAAATATTACGCGCTCTAACTTGAATTTGGATTAATTAAAATTGTAAACTTCTAACACTTGGCATAACTGTAAATAAATGGTTTTTTTAATTAAAAAATAATGTTACGCTCAAAAATTTGAATTAACACATACAAGAAAAACCGAATTCAAACACACACAAAAAAAAAAAAAAATGCTCAACAACTACAATCACCCATGTCTCTAATCTCTACAGCAACTAAAACTTGCAACTGGATCCGATAATTGTTTCCGCAATATCATTTCTGTTTTTCTTCTCTTCAGGGATGGGAGACCTCGTCAATGATAAAGATTGAAGGGGTAGCCATAATAATTCTGTTATACATTAATTAATACGCTAATATTAAATCCTTTTTACTTTCCTACATTGATTAATTAACTAAGATAAGAATAGAAGAGCAGCTGTAATGCAATAGCTTTTATGGGTACCATCATTACGATGAGGGAATCAAGCTATTTGGCATATTTATCGGAAGTTATAGGCACTTGAATTCGTTTGCTCTTTTTCTATTCATTAATCTTCATTGATTATTGCTCACCTGATTCCAATTAACACTAAATTTAAGTTAAATTTATAATACATGTCAACTTAACTAAGAAAACTTAAGATAATTTTTGTCACCTACCATTCACTTTTTCATTTCATTGTAATTTCAATTGCACGTATCATTTCCTTTTTTAAAAAAATCGATTAATTTTTCGTATTTCCTAAATATACCGCGAAGATTTTCTCCGGTGAAATATTCTTATCGAAATAAATGGTAACGCGTTGTTCAACAAGTAGAATCAATAACAATCAATTTTTCCATATCTTCTCGCAATCGTATGATTGATAAGAAACGAAGGGAAAGGGAGGAAACATCAAAGTCACGAAGAAGTAGGGGGGGCGTCATTAAGTTGGAAAAAACGTTGGGAAGTCGGTTTTGGCGGTTCAAAAAGATGAGGAGTGGGCCTACGTGTGACTGGCACGTGGAGGTTGGCACCAGAACAAAAAACAAGTAGGCCGTTGTTTAGCAGAAAAATTATTTAGTGCAGTTATTGCATTACGTAAAATTGTGCAGCCAGACATAATAATAAAAATAAAATATTAATTTTGAAAAAAAATAATTTTTACTAAAGTTATATCATCAAAATAAAAAAATAATTGTTGCACTAAAAACTAGGATCCAGTCGTTGTACTTAATAATTTTTCGGTTTAGCATGGGCTTTTGGGGGGTGGTGGTCAGTTACTACTTACTCTCTTCTCTCTATTGTTACAGGCTGACCCTCCTTCCCCCTAATTTCTGCTTCCGTTTTCGTCCTCATTTGCCACCTCACATCACTACCCGCCCCCTCTTGCCCTGGACCCCACAGCAATTTAAACCAACTCCCAACTAAATTTGTTCTTATTTATTTTTTTAAGTTTTTTTTTGGAACAAAAACCGTGTGCATAAATGGTTAATAATTTTAAGCCCTCGTGTTTTGATAGAAATTCTTATTGGCCCCTTAAAGTTTACGAAAAAATCATGACGATCCTCATCGACCCGTCGATAATATAATAAGAACATATATAGTAGTATTATTACTGAAGCCGATGCAATTTGTTGACATCAACAAATTTTTATTACTTGTGCATAATTAATATTTTTCATAACTGATATGACATGATTTCATATTCAGAAATAATGAGTTATTTTGTTGTAAAAATATTCAGTTATTGATTAAGTATTAAATGATATCTGCGAGTGATAACCACATTGAAAGGACCGCGTCAGTAAAATATAATTGCCATCAAAACTTGCTTGACTAATTTGGCGATTAGTGCATGACGGCATGTTCAATCATATCATGCTAAGAATCTACACATAATCTCATTAACGCTAGTGAGTTATGCAATGTTAAAGTAGAATAAACCGATTCACGTGAACGCATTACTTACAAAATTCTGACTAAGAAATAGTGGTGGAATCGACTACTCAAACTTGGAGGGGCTGACTATATATACATAATCAAGATCGATGGTCGAATATATAGATAACGTAAGATTAACTGTGACTACTCTTAAAGGGTATTCCGGCCGATCGGAGGGGCTCGGTACCTCCCGAACCTCTTAAGAGTTCCGCTCCTGTTAAGAAATATGACGTTATATTATCATAATAATAACCAATTCCCAGATTCAATCAATAAATGACAACTATTATTATAGGAGAACATATTACTTAAAAAATTATGACTAAGAAAATATAGAAATGATTACTATCAATATTTCTCAAACTGAAACCTTTTATTTTATAATCAGTAAATTGGGCAAAATTAGAGATTCTTTTCGTACTTAACTGAAAGTAATGTATTTTGAACTGAATCTGGAACACGCAGTGAGACACTAAATTTTGTGATACAGACAAAACTATTTTTATCACTTATTAAGCATATTTATCAGTATCGATGTTTGTTGTCCAATCTATCGATATTTTTCCAATCTCGTGTCAACTACAGAGTTTCTTCAAATTGCGGGTAGGAATGGGTAATTAACGCATAAATAAATATCTCATCGTCCTTCTTCCCTAATGCTCGCCAGCCTGGCTGAGTCAAAGTCCAATCCAACCTCCTCCAACCGTACGCTCTCTCTCTCTCTCTCATATCAAATCCCTCCCAAAAATAAAAACAAAAAAACACACACGCGCACAGTAACCCACACGCCGTTACATAATTAACTTCCAAAACGGTCGGTGATTTGAATTTAAATTCCCGTAAAAAAAACCCCGAGATTTTAGTGAGTGTTGATCCACACATAGGTGTCCTTCCCCTTCCCTCTACTTTCGACGCGTGTCCCTCGCCAGCTGTATTCCCCTAATACTTAACTGCCTTTTTTTCACCGGTTATTTCTACCGTCTCGAACCGGTCATCCCTATCCCCTATTCTTCCTTTCATATTTATACTCCTCTCTTCTCATTCTTTCACTCTGCTTCCTTCTTCATACCCAAAGGCGAGGCTCAGCCTCCCCCAAAAATCCATTTTGTACAGTACCAAAACCAGAGATTATAATTTTTTTTTTTTTCCATTTTAGGGTTTATTATTTTTTTCCTATTTTATTATTTTGTTTTTCTTCTATCATGGGGACGATCGCGCACAGAAAAGAGACCGATCGGATTAAGGGTCCATGGAGCCCTGAAGAGGATGAGCTTTTACAGAGCCTTGTTGAGAAGCATGGCCCGAGGAACTGGTCTTTGATCAGCAAATCGATTCCGGGGAGATCCGGCAAATCCTGCCGGCTCCGGTGGTGCAACCAGCTCTCGCCGCAGGTGGAGCATCGTGCTTTTACGCCGGAGGAGGACGAGACGATTGTCCGGGCTCACGCCAAGTTTGGGAACAAGTGGGCTACCATAGCCCGTTTGCTCTCTGGTCGGACGGATAACGCCATAAAGAACCACTGGAACTCCACCCTTAAACGGCGTTGCTCTTCCATGTCGGACGATTTCAACTTCGAAATCCCTCCGCCGCCGCTCAAGAGATCTGCTAGCGTTGGCCCAGGTACAAATGTGTCAAATTTGTACGTTAACCCGGGTAGCCCGTCCGGATCCGACATGAGTGACTCGAGCCTTTCGGGTTTCGGATCAAGTCGAGTTTTCCGACCCTTTGCCCGGACCGGCGGGATCTCCCCTCCGATTCAACAGATCGACGCTCCGTCGGCTGCACCTTCAGTGGATCCACCAACATCCTTAACCCTTTCCCTACCCGGATCAAGCTCCGGAACCAGCCCGACCCAAAATAACATTTCCACCGAAACCCCTGTATTTTGTTCTGGTCAACCAACTGTTCAGCAAACTCAGGTAATAGCACAAGTAGCGCCACCACCGCCGCCTCCTCCACCACCAACACCTCCTCAACTACTTGCACAGACGCAGCGGCAGCCGGAAGCAGCACCGGTGCCGCCAACTCGACAGGCGCAAGTCGGTTTTGGTTTCTCTGTTCCGGCAGCACCCATGACTGTTCAAGCAGGGGAAAGGCAGTTCTTCAGTCCGGAGTTCTTGGGAGTTTTGCAGGAATTGATTAGGAAGGAGGTGAGGAGTTACATGTCTGGGGTGGAGCAAAATGGGATGTGTATGCAGACTGAAGCAATTAGAAACGCAGTGGTGAAGCGTATGGGAATCAGCAAAATTGATTAAAATGAAAAATGTCTGAAAAGGGAATCATTAAAATCTCCTGAACGTTTTGAAAGGAACAATATCTGAGAAATGGGGATGTCTGAATTGGCCAGCTTTCCTTTGGGGGATTGAAGTTTGGGAAGAATGTGGGGGAATGGAGGGTTAATGTGATAGAGGGAAAGAATTTTGTTTTCTTGATCGGAGGGGCTTAGACTTTCTGTTTTTGCATCTATACAAAAATAATCTTAGAAGGGTCCTTATTTGTACAGCTTAGAGAATGAAGTTGGAGGGAGAAAAGGAGGAGGATGAGTGGAAGGTTTAAATATATTCAGTCTTTTGAATTAAACTTGCTACCCAGAAAAAGCAACCAAGGAAAACAATAATCAGTTCTGTCGATTTGAATTGTTGGTGTCATCGTATTACTTCAAAATTAATTGGTTGTGTCTTAAATTTTAGAACCTGAAACAAATCCAAATGCCTCAAATTATAGTAGTGAAAAGAATGTGAAGAAACCAGTTTGTAGTTTGTTGGTAGGCCGATTTCATGGAGAAGAAACCAGAATGAAACAAATCTGCGTTTCTGTGGCTATAAATTTTCCTTTTAGACCAAAAATGAGATTTAAACAATTCAAAATGACTGGTGCTTAATGTGTGAATCGTCTTTAGCAGGCAGTTAGTTTACATTGGTCATTTTGCAGTTTCATTTCTGGCAATAATATTGTACAACTGGCTTAAAATTGCACACTAAAGAGCGTTTGAAAATGGCCAATTGTTGTTGTGTTTGTGGAGCGTAGATTTGAGAGATGAACTTGGTTGGGATATTTAGAACTCAGAAAGAAGAAGTGGTTTGGTCAGCGACTCAACTGACTGATCGGAAGATATTTTCCGGCTCAATGATTAGAAACCACAGAGAGGGTCCTCGGAAATGCCACCTAAACTTTGATAGTACAACAATTGAATTGGCATTTATCTATGATTGGGCCTCATGGTGCTACTCTAATTGAGCTTTCAGTAGCAATTCTTACACGACTCCGTTTACGTAATGCTCACCCCTGAACCTGAAGGCCGAAGAACAATGAACCAACCAACTTACCAATAAATTTTTGACAAATTTTTTCTTCACTCCATAGTCCAAATTACTTTTTCAATAAATAAATAAATATTAAATAATCTCAAACTCAAAATGATGTCTCTGCGTTTTCTTTTTGTACAAAACATAAGGCAAAATTTTTGGATAATGAGATTGATATATGACGTGGAAAAAAATTCTGATTAAATCACGATAGTTTTAATCCTAATGGCAGGTCATTGTAGATTTTAGAAGTTCTCCACAAATAAGAGGTGCTGTGTTTTTTTTTTTTTTTGGATAAAAGTACCTGCTTTGATTAATTTAAAAGCCCTATGCTATTACATTGCATATTATAATACGCAATATTATGAACATCTGAAACTTCCGTGCTGGTTAATTGGCTGCAAATTTTGAGTAACTATTAATTTGTGATTGAAAAGGTATAAGTTATCAACATACAATGATGGTAATTGTATAAAATGTTGGCCAATGAGTGAGTTTTTTAACGAAAATAAAACAAAGATTTTGTACTGTTTTTAAAACTTGTCAAACTTCTGAACTAGTTTGACTATTATTGCATTTTGACATCTTTGAAAAAATTTCCTAAAGCGACAGGGAGGAAGACTCAGTCAAACCTCATTTCCTGAAACTGATCGAGTAACTAACTCAACATAGTTACTGTAAGTTGGAACTGAAATACACAACATTATTCACTTCGATCATATTTATGATAAACTCAGCAGTAAGGAGGTGAATTCTCTGATAAACGACCAAATGTTGTTGAGGAATAAAACGTGTGGAAGCTTCTCGAAAAATTCCAAACTGTCCGAACTAAATCGGCCGCCATACAAACCGATGCCAGTCATTCTCCGCAGCAGTTGCAAGTTGCGTAAATGTGAATGTGAACACTTTGCAGCTCTTGAAGTTGACATATTTGGGTCCCTAAATGAATTGATTGATTTAATGCCCTACTTCTTAGGGTACATTAATCATCAAACTATGAGTTCTTCTGAACTAAATGCTCCACAGAATTTCCCCCACAAAGGAAAATTTAACTTCTGTTTTTGGATACCTGGAATAAAAGGGCTTCAAAGTTCAGCGTCCGTTGTAGTAAAAAAAATTAATAAAAAGCTGAACAATCGAGTTAGAATTTCTGTTTGCTAGACTAATTATGAGATTATGTGGACCAAAAGTAACATCCATCATGTTGAATACTATTCTGAGCTTTACAATTAGGACCCAAACTATAAAACATCTACTAAACAAATCTACTTATTGGTTGTCCCTTTTGAAGTTAACACTTGAACATTTCCTTAATCCTACTTGATCATTCGGTTGATCAAGCAACATATTTACAACCTGGCGCATTGTAGGTCTTGCATCTTTGTCTTCCTCAGTGCATTTCAGTGCAACTCTTGCCAAAATTTCCGTCGATTCTATGTCAAATTCTCCATTCAAAGACGGGTCCACAGTTTCCTTAAGAGGGGTTGGGGAAGATCTTCCATCTGATTCTTGCATTTTTTCCCTTACCCAATTTACGAGACTCTTCGCCTCGACCGCAATGCTTCCATCGCTGGAATAGCCTCCTGTTGGGCTCTTTCCTGTTATCAGTTCCAAAATGACGATTCCATAACTGTAAACATCGACCTTGGAGGTGATCGGGAGATTAAAAAGCCATTCAGGAGCCATGTATCCTCGGGTTCCCCTTATACGCGAAAACCTCGAGTGATCCACACCACTCCTTTTCAATATCTTGGAAAGCCCAAAATCTGCAACTTTTGGATGATAGCTTGAGTCCAAAAGTATGTTTTCTGGCTTCACATCACAATGTAACACCCATTCCAAGCATTCTTCATGCAAGTAAGCGAGTCCTTTCGCCGTGCCAAGAGCGATTTCGTATCTCTTATTCCAGTCAAGCTTATGATCAGAATACAACTTCTTAGCTAAGGACCCATTCTCCATGTACTGATACACCAAAAGTCTGTGATCCCCTTCTGCACAATATCCCCAAATTTCCATCAGGTTCATGTGGTTGAGCCTCCCGATTGCGGTGATTTCTGCAAGAAATGTAGCTTCACATTGATTGGCTTTTTCCAAATACTTGATGGCAACCACCCGATCATCCGACAAAACGCCTTTGTACACCACACTATCCCCTCCTCTTCCAATTTCCTCACTAAAACATTTTGATGCCTTTTTAAGTTCTGCATAGCTGAATTCCCTGAAACCAGGACTAATCTGTTGGTAGTCATGGACAGCCCGGCTCGATCTTTTTCGAGTCGCGAACATATATGACAGCAAGCACATAATCTGAAAAGCTCCAATTGCCAGAGTACACAACAAGAAAGTCCTCACAGAACCATCTTTTTTCCTCTGATAAATCCTTTCCAACGGCGCGACTTGATTCGTGCATTGCAGGATCACATCTTGGGCAGGATTTGGATATTTGGTTAGATTGTCACTTGGCAATCTTATGAACATGGGATCGGGGAAATTCAGGGAGCGATATCCATTGAACAAAGTGTATTTAAGGTAACAGTTGTAATAACCCGAGAGAAACCGAAATTGGAATCCTTTGCAGTGACAATACTTCAAACAGGCGGCTTTACAACTCTCAAATGTGTAATTAGCAAAGTAGAGAAAATCAAAGCCGTAAAATTCAACATGAGGGAGTTGAATAAAACCTGAAGCACTTGCATTAGTACAAGAGAGCTGGAAATCCGGTTCACATCCATATGACCAATCTGTGGCATTTTTGATCTTGTATCCGGGTAAACAAGTGCACTTTCTACCGATTTCAGGATCATTAACACAGACACTATTTTCACCACAGATTCCATGAATCCTGCAGGGTTCAGAAGTGTGTTGCCATGTAATTTGCCAGGTTTTGCTATGCGTATCTAAACTGTAAACCCGAAGATCGCCGTCGACATCCATAACCATTCTTCTTTGAGGCCCAAAACCATAATCAGTGGTCATAAACGTGAACAGATCGGATGATTGGAAATAGCCTGATGAATCCAATACAGCAATCTTACTATCATTAAAGGTGGATCTTCCTGCACTCCATAAGGTTATCCAAGTATTAGGCCAGTAAACACTGGTGATATTAGGTCCTTCATAACGGAGATGAATGATACTATCACCATCAAAGTATAACTTGTAAAAGCCTGAAGAATGATTGGTTTTGCTCCTGGAGGAGACAAGGATAGAGTTCTTGGTGAATTCCTGGTGAGGAAGAAGTGTATTGGTGGGAAAATCAAAACTTTGCCAGAGATTTTGACCATCAGAATTGGTGAGAACGAGGTTTCCAGTGTCATGGAGTTCTAACTGAACAGAGGAGTTGGAAACTGTGTTGCTTGTCCAGACGGTGACCTGCCCTGCATCTATCAGTAGGAGGTCGCCCGAATTTCGCAAGAAAAGCGCGGTTTCTTTCGCGTTAACGGGTTCATCTCGATTAGCCATCCAAACTGTGGTGTAGCTTCCTTCGTATTGATCAGTGTACCATATGGAAAAGATGTATGCATTTTCACCAGCCTGGAAAAATCCAGCAGTGAAAATGGATCCTGGTTTTGAAATTAGAGTGTCTTGAATTGTAAGGGATGATCCTTGTGTTAAAGTGGTAAAGCTTTTGGAGGAAATTAAGCTTGGAAATATTATGGTTAAAGATGAGAAGAGAAACAGATGTAGGAATGAAGCCATGTCAGAATTTCAAGTTGACAATCAACATTGTGAGTTATCTTTAGGCTTAAACTCTTATTCTTATGTAGCCAGACAAAGTCATGAGTTTGAATTAATAGATTAACTTAGGTGAATGAAATGCCTAGGTTCTTGTAATGTGTATTAAAAAAAGTGAATGAAATGCAAGTTGTATTGTTTACTGTCAAAAGAAGAAGAAGAAGATAAGCTGTTGTTGTCTGCTTGTGTGATACGGCAGCCAAATAATTCCCCGCGAATTAGGGTTCTATTCAACCTATTTCATGGTCCTAAATGAGCTTGAATCATTGTAACGTGTTGACAATTGACTGATTATTCCAACCAAGTTAATTCATGATTATGTTAATCGTTTCCATCGTTATAGTCTAGTTCCTAACTTTTGTCTAAAATTATCATTCAAATGTACCAGAAAAAAAAATGATGTCATCAGTACAGCGACAAAATTCACCTTTCCATACACGTTCATTCCTAAATACTTGCACTTTCATATTCAATAATTTCACTAATGTAACTGTACTTAATGTAAGAGAAAAGTTGTATTTGACCAAAATAAGATCATGAGATGAAGGCAATAAGAATATTAAAACAAATGATTGTACTTGTCTAGAGAAGTAAAAGAAATACATTGGGGAATCTGAGATGCTCTGGTATTTTGGTCCGAAGGGGTCGTTTTCCTTGGACTAAATAGCCGATAAATTTGGTGCGGACTTTCTCGGACAAACCTTCGACCTTAGAACTTAAAAGTTTGAATGGAAAAAAGTTGGTCTTGATATTGAAGAGTTCTACGGCAATAAAATGAATACTATATGGCTCCGTTTGGTTAGATTGAATTGGAATTACAATAATATTAAATTGAAAATGATATATTATTATTGTAATTCAATCTCAATTCCTTCGTTTGGGAAATTTTGAAAATTTACTAGAATTAAGGTTTTAATTCCAATTCTTGCGTTTGGATGCATAAAAATTTGGATACTTTAGGATTAAAATTTTTTTGTTATTGTATAATTAATACTAGTACAATTTATACTTCTTGTCAAAAACTAAAAAAAAAAAATTAATTTATATGGATATGTATATCACAAAAAAAATAAATAAATTCACTATTTACATGTATATTTGACTACTTTGTGGTTGTTTAACTAATACGATTTTTATTTTTTTAAAACAAATTATTATTTCTAATTAATTTGCTAAATCAATTTTGTAATTTATTATGTACATACAGTTTTTGTTGGAAACAAAAGAAAAATTACTACCTCCATCCCAAAAAATTAGTCCATATTGAGTTTTCAAATTTGTACTAAAAACAGTACAAAAGTATGGACTATTTTTTTGGGACAGAGGGAGTATTATGTTTAAGAATTATCAATATGATACTTAAAATTCTCACTTAATACACAAACAAGTAACATGTAAAACATCCTTGTTTTCCTCTCTTTTATTATTTTTCAAATTTTTAATTTTTGATGAATTAAAAAAATTTACTATATAATATTGTAAATTCAGTTTATGAATATAGAGGTTCATTTATATATAGATTAACATTAGTATATAATACATGCTTAAGTTTTTTTATATATATTTATGAAATAATAGATACTTAAAACTCAACTTACATAATTTTTGGTGAAAAGATGCCATGAATAATTTAAAATTTATATATATGTATTATAATATAGGTGTATATATGGAACAATTTCTATAATTTTTTTTTTTGAAAATTTTATGTTGTTTACTATGTCATAATATAATAAAAATTTTAACCTAAAACTAAAATATTTAGTTATTAATTTTTTCTGGGTACAACTATACTTTTGATATTTTTTTGTAAAAAAGATGCAATGTTAATTTTAGATTGATTGTTGATAATTATTAAATTGATATATATGAAATAATGATAATGAGACAAAAAGGCAAAAGAAAATTAAAAACAGAGACAAGAAAAACGTCAGGAACCTCCGAAAGCAAAAAAAGAAAAAGAAAAAGAAGTGCTGAAAAAAAATTAAAATAACAAAAAAATATTAAAAAAAGGTCAAAAGGCAAAAAATGATAAGGCGGCCGGTTGAGGTTATAACCCAGAAACGAACCGGTTATGACCCGCGTACTTTTTTAAGTTCCTTGAATTTGGATTCTAATTATTTGCTCTCACAAAAGAATTAAAAATAAAGAATTGGGCCCTATCTTGAATTATAATTCTAATTCTTGGACCTCTATTTTTTCAACCAAACACAAGAATTAGAATTAGAGAGCTCCAATTCCAATTGGTCCCAATTCAATGCAACCAAACAGAGCCTATATATAATTGAGATAACATTGTTAGTCCATCATCGGAGATTGTACTCCTTCCTCCCCATAAAAATAGTTCACAACATTATTTTTTAGTATAATTCATAACTTACAATATGAGCTATTTTTGTCAGATTATTGAGTACAACATTTTGGAACCCATAATTTGATTGTAATGAAATCAAGCATATAAGTTTAAATAAATATGGTCAAGTCACAAAGTGTTCATCCGTCACTTATTTGATTTGATCCAGTCTCAAGTCCAACATTCCCAAAAGATTTGATATTTAATTAATACAAACATTAATACATTCAACGACAAATTTACAATGACTTTCTACTGTAACCAACGTCACAATTAGTCATCAATTATGTAACAAAAAAAAAGTCATCAATTATCAATTTATAATAGTAGTGATGGGTTAAAATAATCTCATAAATAACTATTTAGTTTTTTTTTTCCTTCATTCGTCACTATGAAAATTACATGTACTTATCACTGTATGAATTATTTCATCTGCCACAAAATATAATTGCACTATCTTAAATTAAAAAATGAATAATGATTGATACAAGGAAAAAATAACAAGCAAAAATTACAAGGAAATAATCTCACCTAATATATTTAAAGTTAGGGCATCGTTAAAATCTTGGCCTTTGTCATTTTTTCCTTACCCTATCACTACTCTTAAAAAATCAATGGTATATTTAGTTTATTACTCCATTCTGGTCTCTCTCTTTTTTTAAAAAAAAAATCACAAAATACCCATGTTTTTGTTTTGTTTAGTTTTTTTTTTTGGTGTTTCCCTACATAGTATATAACTTGGTTCAATGGTTTTATTATTAATCATAATGGTTCGAGTAAAGAGTCAATTACGAAATAATCAAGTACACTCTTTCGTTCTCAAAAAATAGTCTATCTTTGAACAGGAAAACATGATATAATAAAAAGAAAATTATTTTTGTGGGAAAGAAGATTTATGACAAAAAAAAAAAAAAAAACTGAAAGTCGGTTGTGGACCAAAATTTCACTATGCCTGACTACAACCAAAGTTTTTGTTATGAATAAGCCCAGAAGTGAGACATAGAGATTACAGAGAACTAGAGAAATGGGTAAGAAGCATCATAAACTTATTATCAACCGAATGAATGAATTCCTATGATAAGTGGACTATTAGCTAACAGTTTTCCTAAACTTTAGCCTTTTGGATCTCCAAGTTTATCTTCAAAATTGTAAAATATTTGGCCCAATTAAGTGAGGAGCCCATGTTTCATTAGACCCAAAAAACAAATCAACATCACCCTCTCTAGTCCATCAAAATTTAACTTTCGTTCAAGAAAATGCATAATGAAAATTTAATCAATTTCTATAAACTTAGAAATTTATCTACCTATATTATAATTACACAATATTTTTAAGGTTTTGATAGTCCACTTGTGCGATTCCAATTTAACTATAAGAAAAAATTTAAATCCTACTTTATTATTACAACCTTTTCACCTCCTTCATTTACCTCTACTTTAATTACTATTGAAATCTAAATTTATTATTATAGTCTCTTCGTCTTCACTTGCCTCTTGTTATTCTGACAACTGTTATAACCGGTCGGTTGATTTTTTTTTTTTTTTGTCAAAATCTACAAAACACTTCACATTCTTTAGCAATCATATGCTTCAATTTTGTTTAAACAATCCTATTGAGATCAAGTAGGGCAAATTCTACAAAACAACACCAAATAGTATCTACTTTAAGTATCAATGGTGATCAAATAGCCGCCAATTCTCAAAAGTAATCAATAGCTTTTCAAGTGCGAAAAATCTTATATTAGAATTGGTAAGTTTTTCATCAATTCCTTTCAAAGTATAAAAGTTCTGAAGGTTTTTAGCTCAACATACATTCTTAAAGTTGGATGATTCTATCCGTTGAAAAGTTGAGTTACTTTGTAAGGGTTTTTTTCCCATTTCATTTGAGTTTTTCTATAGATTTTATTTTTGAATTTATTATGTTATTTAAGTGTACTCAATTTAGAAATTTTTTATGATTTCACTAAATTCCAAAAGATCATATGCAAGTGAAATTACATATGTGTGAGTTTTCGTTTTAAGAATAAAAATTAGTTTTTTTTTTTAATTACCCTCTTTAATTTATGAGCTTTCTAGATGGATAAATTATGTATATTTGATCATTTTATGATAAAACAAATATCAATACTCAAGTAATTATGAATTTATTATGTAATCAGTACAACCAATTCAATTATAAGTAATTGTTTTACCATCACGCGTACGCACGAAGTGTGCGTTCAAGCTAACTAGTTTTATATAAATTTAGATTATTTGTCGGAGTAGTGATAGGTACAAGGAAAAAATGACAAGAAAAAATAACAAAGAATGATGTGTCAAGATCTTAACTATGTCATAACCTTAAATGCATAAATCCTATTTAGAAAGTTATAATAATGAATGGTTAAGATTATTTCCTTATAATTTTCCCTTGTTATTTTTTTTTTGTACCAATCATTATCCTATTTGTAGAATGTAACAGTCAGGTTAAGAAAAATGGATGGAAATATATTTCAAATTTGATCATATAATCATGTCATTTGAAGTGCTACACGTATAACAAAATCATGTAAAAATTAAAGAACTATGCCCTCCCATTTCTATGGTTTTGCTGCAGTCAAAAGCAAGATGTGCCCATGAATTAAGAAAAGTTTTTGCCAAGTTTAGATGTAAGAAGTCCAACGATAAAATAATTTTGGGAAGCCTTATTAACAATCTCCGGAAAGCTGTGCATAACTTTCAATAACATATTTATTTTGTCCCAAAATAATTGAACTGTTAAAAATTTTAGGATACAAGAAATAATTGATATGTATCATCTCCTTTAATCAAATCCAATCTTTATTAATAAAATCTATCCAAACATATTGCCCTACCACAGGCTAGAATTGACAAATTTGGAAGGTAATTAGATATTAGATGGTAGTTATGCGTCAATTGAACTGAATTGTTGATTCATCCAAAAGAGCGACAAATTTTATTAATGAATTCCACAGTTCCACTTCATACATACGCCCGCACCTCTGACTAATATAATTCCCTCCCCCAGTGGTCAAATTGCAAGTAAATAGAAGTATTGACATCTTGAGAAAAGAAACCTAATTTCACCAAAATTAGTACATCTAAGGTTCCAACTCCTCTTACATTTGTCTTGTTTAAAGTTTTTAACCATCATTTTCAAGTTACATGTATTTCTAATACGATATTTCATATCGGTGACGTATATAACCTTGTATCACACAATCTAAGATATCATCTAAATTAGTCCAAACACCAATAGACGAAAATGAAAACAAAAACGAAAACGAAAGGGAGTAATAAACTAACAATTACCCTTAAAAAAAATCCCAGCTTTACTGGTCGCTGTTTTGATGCATCAGCAAATCCACAACTTGGCGCATTGTTGGTCTACCATCTCTGTCTTCCTCTGCACACTGTATAGCAACTCGGATCAGATTCTCCATCTTCTCCACATCAACTTCTTCATCACCTTCCTTTATTCTTGGGTCCAAAACCTTCAGGACTCCATACATTTTCCCATCAACTTCATCATCATTATTTGTGTTATTATCACCTTCTTCGTGCATGTTTTCTTTCACCCACTGGACCAGCCTCTTAGGCTCCATCATCACATTTCTGCTGCCGTTTTCTTCTTTGTCATAGCTCCCAACAGGGTTCTTTCCAGTTACCATTTCCAGCACGACGATCCCATAACTGTAAACATCCACTTTCGATGTGATTGGAAGGTTGAATACCCATTCTGGTGCCATGTATCCTCTTGTTCCTCTAATCCTTGAAAAACTCGAGATTTGATCGCCGCCGCCTCTGTTTAGTAGCTTTGAGAGCCCGAAATCTGCAACTTTTGGATGGTAGTTTGAGTCCAGGAGTATGTTTTCCGGCTTCACGTCGCAATGAAGAACCCACTCTAAGCATTCCTCGTGCAAATAAGCGAGCCCTTTTGCCGTGCCTAATGCAATGTCATACCTCTTTTTCCAATCCAGTTTATCAGATTGAAGATTCTTTGCTAATGAACCATGCTCCATGTGTTCATATACTAACAGCCTGTGTTTTCCTTCTGCACAATATCCCCATAACTCAATCAGATTCATGTGATTCAGCCTCCCAATTGTGCTTACTTCTGTAAGAAACACAGCTTCAGTATGGTAATTAGCCTGATCCAGGCATTTGACGGCGGCCACACGATTATCGGGCAACACCCCTTTGTACACATCTCCACTGCCTCCTCTTCCAATTATTTCACTGAAATTCTTTGTGGCCTTCTTCAGCTCTGCATAACTGAATTTCCTGAATCCAGTTCCAACCTGAAGATAGCCTTGTACTCTTGCTCTAGAACGAATTCTTGTTGTGTACAAGTAAGATAGTAAACAGATGATTTCTATAGCTCCAACTGCTAAAGTACACCAAAGAAACGTCTTCACCCATCCGGGATGGTGTTTTTTACCATATTGTCTATCCAATGTGATAATTTGAGCACTGCATTTCAAATCAGAGACTCGTTGAGAAAGATTCGGAGAAAATGAGGATAAATTCGATTTGGGTAGCCTCAAATACATTGGATCAGGGAAACCAATTGAAGTGTACCCATTGAACAGAAGTGTCTTGGGGAAACAATCATAATAGCCATTACCAACATCATATTTGAACTGGAAACCTTTGCAATCACAATACTTCAGACATAATTCTTTACACTGTTCAAAGGTATAGTTTGGAAAGAACCCAACATCATAACCATAATATTCAGTTTGTTTGAGTTCAAGCCAACCTGATGCATTGAAATCATCACAAGGAAGCTGAAATTCAGGTTCACATCCATAACTCCAATCAGATTGATTGACCCTCCGATAACCAGGGGCGCATGAGCATTTCCTTCCGGTTTCATGATCATAAGTGCACAAACTATTTAGCCCACAAATTCCATGATTATTGCAGGGTAAAAGCTTGGCCTGCCATGAAACTTTCCAGCTTCGACTGGTATTAACAAGACTGTAAACCCGAAGACTTCCATCAAAATCAATAGTAAACCTTCTCTGAATTCCAGGGCCATAATCAACAACATTGAACTTGAATTCATCAGATGAATGAAAATGGCCTAAAAAATCAAGCACAGCGGTCTTACTATTGTTGTCCGTTGACCTCCCGGCATCCTTGCTGTTTAGCCACGGATCAGGCCAGAAAATACTGGTGATTTCGGGGCCTTGATACATCTGACGAAGAATATTATCAGTATCAAAATACAGCTTGTAGAAACCAGAGGAATAATTGGTTAGGCTTCGTTTAGAGATCAGGGGAGAATTTCCGGTGAATATCTGCCCCGGAAGAAGCGTATCAGTTGGAGAATCAAAACTTTGCCAAAGATTCTGATTCTTAGAATCTCTCAAAACAAGATTACCATCTTCTTGAAGCTGCAAGTCAACAGAAGAAGAAGAAGAATCTGACTCTGTCTTGGTATTGCTTGTCCAAACCTGGAATTTCCCTGCATCTGTCAACACGAGATTACCCGATTTCTGCAAAGAAAACCTGGATCCTTTCCCGTTAACGGGTTGGTCCCGATTAGCCATCCAAACAACCGTGTGATTTCCATCATCATTTGGTTGGGTGAACCATATACTGAAGCAATATGCATTCTCTCCAATGCTGAAAAAACCAGCTGTGAAAGTTGGATTTGGGGTTGAAACCAGAAAATCTTGGATTGAAAGAGATGAACCTTTAGCTAAACTTGTGATCATGGCTGATGATGATGATGGTAGAATTGGAAGTGAAAAGATGAACATGGAAACGAATATTACAGGTAAGGAAGCCATGGATGAATGGAGCATCCAACAAAGTTAAGGTTTGTAAGACTATTTTATGGCTTGCAAAAGCATTTTCTCCTTATTCTAAACCCTTCAGCACGGCGGCACCGAGAGTTGTGTGTAGAAGGAAAATGGTGGAACCAAGTCAACCAACAGATGATGATATTGGACTTATAATCATTCTCGCAGGTGGAAATTCCAGCAAGTGGGAAGGTCAATGGAATCTTGTGGAAATAAATTAGACTTTTTAATAATAATAATAATAATGTCTTATTCTGTGTTGTTTGTGTGCAATAATTCTGGAACCAATGGCATAATAGTAGCATACTTTTTCGTCCAAATTAGATCTTATTTTTTTTCTTTCTGCATAATAATAGCATATTTTTTTCCGTCCAATTTAGATCTTATTTTTAGTTTAATTTAAACTAAAATTAAAAATTTAAATTGAATAATAATTTTAAGTGCAAAATGTATATCATACTCAAATTAATCAATAGTTGATTCAAATAGTTCTTGCGAAGTGAACGGTTCCAAGAATTAGTTTTTCTCTCCATAATTTCGAATCCAACATTTGTTTAAAAATGATGAACGGTTCATCACTTGACCCAAGAAATTATTAGTTGTGTCTGCATAATTTAATAATTTTGGAAAACTGTAACTGGCGGCTGTCCATATGCTGAGAATCATCTGTAGAACTGTCTTTTCTTTTGAATAATAAAACCCCAAAAAAATAATCACCGATGACGCATTTTACTCATGAAAACTACTTAAGATATTGAAATATCTACCAGGATCCACTCGGCTCTCATGATAAAGGCGTCATTGCGGGGTTGTGGTGCGATTACTTTCTCCACTTTTTACTATTGTGATTGCTTGTAATCTACCATCAAGATGTGGGAATATAAACTGAAGTAACAATTATAGTTTAAATTTTATGTATTGTAGCTAGCCAAAATAAACACGACTTTTTGACTATATGATGAAGATTAAATACTTCAAACAGAATCATGTTCGTTGAACTAAAAAAGAAACCTACCCAGAAAATGCAAAACATTAACATCTATCGTCTCCATTAAGATGGAAAATTAAGGTGATTTTCCAGTAAGAAAGTTGAAGAGTAAAGAAGGAAAACAAATGTTATTTTGTTCCTAAATAATTATTCAGTCTAGACCTTTATTTCTCATATAATTTAAATGAATTAAAAATGAAAATTCAAAATTGACTATTATTTGGTTTGGATTTTGGAAAGCATAATAACTCAACTGCTCTACACATTGGATGAACTTGGAAGTGGCAATCGACATCATAATAACTCAACTGCTCAACTGATTGGAGGAGTTTTTGGAAGTCAACTTCATTTATAGCTGCTAAAAAAAGAAAAAAAGATCTAGTCTCATTTATTGCGTCTGAATGTCTGATAATTGCTTGATGGCGATGACCATCCTTTTGTCACTGTTTCCAAGCCACCATTTGATGTGTTATATGGTGCGGCATTTTAAGTTATACTACTTCGGTAGTACTATTATATTTTGTGAAACATTTATTAAGTTTTGGTACTAAATATTTTTCTCTACTAAGGGAATTCATTCATTCCTTGTTGGAGGGTTTGTAATTAAATGTTACTGCACAAGTTTAGACAAATCTCCAAGGATTACGAGTTTCATTTTTAGTTGCGTTACAAAAATGTCAATAAACATTCACTATTAGTTTAGGTTTTTATTGAACATTATTTCTGGATATAATAATGAATAAAATTTCTATTGGATTCATCAGGTCAATATAAAGATTAGATGCATATATGCAATGGTAGACCACTAGCCCTGAAATGCTAGTGTGATACGCGACACATATGAAAAAGACACAAATATGATCTTAAGGAAATTTCACCTATAAAGAAATATAGTTTGTTAGTTTCACCCACTTTTTTTAAAAAATAGTTTGTTTAATTGTTTGTACGTGTGGGCTTTTTATGCTTTCATACTGTGTATATATCACTAAATAATTTCTACATATAAAGTTATTATCTCTATTATTTTCTGTAGATATGACAATATTGTTTAAATTTCCACTCATTTTTTTTTAACTTATAAATATGAAGTGGTAGAAATTTTAAATTAGTCAGTGACACATGATCATACAATGTGTGATATTGTAAACATTAAAAATTGAATTTCATTGAACATATAAGTATGTCTTTCCAAGTGTGCTACACATGTTGTTTCAGTAAGTAACTAGTTTTACTCGCGCACGTTGTGTGGTTTTTTTAAATATTTTACTTTAAAATTTTAAATATTATAATTCTGCCAAAAAGAATTTTTTTTTAGAGAGAAAAAGAATTTTTTTTAAGTATGAGTAGAAAGGAGTGTTCATTATGATTTTGAATTAAATAGATAATGGAGAATTAATGATCGTATCAATCTTAATTATGAAAATTATCATATTTTTTGTGTATTATCTCGTAATTATTGTTATTTTAAATACACCTCATGGTTAAAATAAAATAGTACTCCATCCGTCCCAAAAAAAATAGTCCAAATTGAATTTTCAAATTTATACTGAAAATAGTACAAAACTTAAAATTCAATGTGGACTATTTTTGTGGGACGGAGGGAGTATATAAGATTTGTTTCAACGGGTTTAATTAATTAATGTTTACATTTTAATCAAGGGCAGAACTAGTCCGTACGCTCAGGGGGTGCTCTCATGTGTAGGATTAATGAAGTCTTAAACAATAATTTTATCGTGTAAAAATACAAATTATATTGAAACATAATTTGAAATAGAAATTTTTCCACACAACATTTTATGTGAGTTGCAACCAATTAAAGAATCAAAATCATCTAAAGTAAAACGTTCTCCTTATGCACTATTTTTTAATGGTGAATTAATTAAAGGGCGAACTACATTTTACCCCCCGAATTTTGGACCCTTAACATAACGCACCCTGAGTTTTGATAATACTACATTTTCCCTCTTTGACAGGGTGATACATTTAGTCAACACCGGAAATTTGTAAAATGACGAAAATCCCTCAATTTGTACCGGCCAAAAAATATACTGTAAAAACTAAAATGCTTGAGTAAAAGACTTGTCTACCCCCCATTATCTTCTACAGAGTAGAACCACAACAGCCTCCTCATATTTTTTCTACGGGCCACCGTCACTAAAGATTTTCCATTCCTCCGTCACAACAGATACTGCTTTTTCCCTTCCAAGTTCATGTTCATCACCATCGTCATTATCTTTCTATTTTGAGATAAGAAACATCTTTCATCTCTACTTATTTTTAAATCGTATGAGACAACAAGTTCGAACAAAAATAACATTAAAATTTGACAGCCAAAAAAATTATTTTATTGATTGAAGATCTTTATCGATTCCGGCTTCTAATATTGGTATAGATATCGTCGGCCGTGACGTTTGCCAGTCTCACCTTGGCCGCCATAGGTAAAGAAAAAGGAAAAGTCTTCAAATCTCTTGGTTCCGATTAATGATTTAGGTAAAAAGGATTAACTTGGTTACTTAAAGATTAGATGTTTTTAGTGAGAAATCCAAGAAGTGTGATAAGGGTTGGAATTTTTGCAAAAAAAAAAAAACATGAAAAAGGAGACATTGAAAATTGGATTTGATTGTTTTGAGGATGGGCTGCGACGGTGCTAGTTTTGGGTCGGCGGCCAAGGATAGAAAAGGAGGAACCGAGAAAGAAAAAATTCTCCAAAGTTTGTGGGTTTTTCAAATGTGAAAATAAGTAAAGGTTTTTTCTAGCCTACGGAAAAAAAATTATGTAAGGACTGTTTCGTCAGTTCACCTTAAAGTATGGCTGTTGTTCGGAGCTGATGTCATTTTCAGGCGGAAAGGTTGATTCGGTTAAAGGGGCCAAAGGTCAGGAGGATTTTAGTAGTATGCCCAAAACTCCAGGTGCATTATGTTAAAGGGCCAAAACGCGGGTGTAATGTATAGTTTGCCCTTAATTAAATAATAATTAACCATTTCTATTATTTAGACAAAAATAATCAAATATTGTAACTAAATTAATGAAATTCAACTAAAGGATAGAACATAAATATGCAGTATAATATGGCATGATTATTTGGTAATAAAATTTCCTAACTGGTCAGTTTCCAGAAATGACACGATTATCTATAGTACTTAATTAAAGCAACATACAAGAAGGACATATGTTAGCTCCACAATGAAATTTTTCCGCCAAATGCCTTTGTTAGTACAAAATAAAAACTGACACGTGGCACTCTAAAATTTCAAAAAAAAGAAGTCTTAAGAAAATCCAAATCTATTTATTTCTAATTAAAAAAATAGAAAAAAAACTAACTATAGCCAATTTCAATTTAAAGAAGATAATAAAGAAAATGGTAGGCAGTTTAAATGTAAAGAAGATAATAAGGAAAAACCATATTTGCACCACAAAATCAGGGAGTTAAACACGTTTTCCCTGTAATTTGCAATGATTGAATCGGAATCATGCCAACAGACTAACAGAGAAGTAAAAAAAGTAAAGAAAAATATTCTACTCGGGCTTTGTTATCCTCTCAGCCTTATTTACAGAACCAGAAAAACTAACCCACAAACAAAATCAAATGAGATTTGATTCTTTATAGCAAAATTAACGTTGATTTTGCTATATCTCTAAAAACACTGCAGAAACTTGAGGCATATCCAGGTTTTTTGACAAAACGAGAAAGTTTTCATCTTTTCCCCCTTTAAAATTTTTATTACTTTTGTGATTGATAGCAGAATTACAACAATCTAATAAATACATACAAATCAGTGAGAATCCCTAAACTCTTTCTCTCCTCTCTTTCTCCCACCGATTGATACCTTCGAAGTTGTTTTCGTCGCCGCCGCCGCCAAATTCTCCTACTCCTCAACAACAATGTTGGTTCAATCAGTTCCTTTCTTCCGCCGCCATCGACTCATGCCACACAAATCATTCGAATCACTTCACAAATCTAGGAATGATCGAATCTCTATCAAATTCAGAAAAAATTTTCTGATCATCATAGTTCGTGTTTCGCCAAGAATGGGAGATCGAATCCCTGGTTAAATACCCTATCAAGGGATATTGGGTGAGTTATCTTCTGAGATTTATTGTCTATCGGATAGTTTTTTTAATTTTGTTTTAACTTTTGGTCCTGTTCGATGAAATCTTTTTTGCAGGTGCTGCTATAATAATGACGAAATTAATGTCCAGT